GCATCTAAGCCATTAGATCCTCCACCCACAAATTCTTTCTTTTTTGAGTCCAGCATAAGTCCTTGAATCATGGGAACCCCACGTCCCCCCACAGCCATGCTTTCTTTGTCCTAGTGGACTGGCCATGAGTGTCATTGGGGCAGTGGTTCCCACCTTTCTTTTAAAATATCTTCTATTGGGGGCTCTTACAGCTCTTAGAACAATCCATACATAAATTGTGTCGAGCATATTGGTACATATGTTGCCATCATCATTTTCTAACCATTTACTTTCTACGGGATCCCTTGGTATCAGCTGCTCATTTTTTCCTCCCTCCGCCCCCTTCCACCCCCATAACCCGTGATAAATTATAAATTATTATTATTTTCAAATCTTACACCGACCACTGTCTCTCTTGTCCCACATTTCTGTTGTTCGTTCTCCTGGGGGGAATTATGTGTTGATCGTTGCGATCGGTTCCTCCTTCTTTCTCTCCTCCCTCCTCCTTCCCCCTACCCTCCTTGTATTGCTACTCCCATTTCTGTTCCTGAGGGTGTATCTGACCTGGATTCAGAGTGTCGTGAGCTCTTATTTGTACCCATGTACATGCTCCTGTCTAGGCAGAACTGAAAGGCAGGACTGGGGTCATGGTCGAGTGGAGTGAGGAAGCCTCAAGGAGCCAAAGGAATATTGTGTGTTTCATTGGTGCTATACTGTGCCCTGGTTGACTCGTCCCTTCCTTGTGACCCTTCTGTGAGGGATGTCCTATTGTCTACAGATGGGTTTGGGGTCTCTGCTCCGACCCTCCTCATTCTCAGCAAAATGTTTATTTTGTTTTGTTTGGGGTCTCCTGGTGCCTGTTACCTGATTTCGTTGACACCTCATGATCACACAGGCTGGTGTGCTCCATCCATGTGGGCTTGTTGCTTCTCAGCTAGATGGCTGCTTATTTATCTTCAAGCCTTTAAGACCTCAGACACTCTATCTTTTGATAGCCTGGCACCATCCACTTTCTTCACATTTGCTTATGCACATTTGTCTTCAGTGATTGTCCTGGAGGATGAGCATCACAGAGTGCCAGGTTGTTAGAACAAAGTGTTCTTGAGTTGAGGAATGGCTTGAGCAGAGGCCCAAAGCCCATCTATTTCCTCACTGTATTGCCCTATAAATATATGCATATAGGCCAGTACCTCTATTTTTATGATTTAATGTATTTATATAAGTGTAAATCTATGTTTATACCTCTATCCATAGCTTTGCTTCCCAAATCTTTCCTGTTTCCTTTTATCTTCCTCCTGCCCCACCCACCATCACACTTGCCCTACTTCTGCCTCTTAGGAATTCCTAAGCTAGATTGCTGTTGCTCCACCACCCGCAGGATCTCTACTTCCTCCTTGTTGATTTTAGTTCCCTAGTTGTTCCCGTCTATGGCGTTGTTTGCTAACCGCTCCCTTCCCCCACTCCCCCCAAGTCCCTCCAGAACCATCGGTCCCTTTACTTTCTCCTCAGGCTTGCCTCCTATGCCTATCTTATATAGATATACAAAACAGCAATAACAGAGACAAAACAAAAGACTGAATAAAAAGACCAAAAAAAAGAAATGAAAAAAATTAGCAAAAAAAACCCCACCCCAAAATGAAAAAGCACACATAATTCCAGGTCTGTCCTCTGACCTTTATGACTATATCTCAACCAGTCCTGGGGGGAGAGGGGGGAGCGGCTCCAGGAACTGCCCCTCCTAGTCTGAAGTCTCTTTGGGGGGCTCCTAAGTGGTTTTGTGGCTTTGCTTTGCTCTCGTTGCTGGTCTGTAATGTTCCCTTCTTGGTTCACCCCGCTGTGGGGGGTTCAGACTGGACTCACTCCCCACCGTGTGTCCCCAGTATTGTCCTCTGTCACAGTATGCTCCAGCGAGGGGACATCATGTCTGGAGCTGTTGCTGGCCCCACAGTCCTCTCTGTGCCTTAGCAGCTCCGTGCAGGGACCTCGTCCTCAGGGCTTGGTGTGCCAGTATGGGGTCTAGTCCCTCGCTCTCTCTTTTTCCTTCTTCATTTGCTTCTGTGTGGGCAGGGCAGGCAGGCCCCTCTCCCCAACCCGGAGGTTTTGTGTTCTCCTAGTGGCACACACTTCTAGGGGCAGCAGGGGAGGAGCTCGGTTTGGCTCTGATTGGGGCAGGCCCTGTCGACCTCTCTGTTCATGAGTTGCTCCGTGTGGTTACGTGGCCCTCAAGGTTTGGTGCGCCGTGGTGGGGTCTGTACTCACACTCCCATTTCTGATACTTTTCTGGTTTAACCACGGGAGCGCTACACAGGTGAGTCTACCTGGACGCCATCCTGGCTCCTTCTCTGGAGCAGTGGTTTCTAGAACCCGCTGTGTGCGCACTGAGCGTGGCCAGATTCCTGCAGAAGCAGCATGGCTTGCTTTCCGAGGTGGCACTGCTGTGCTTTTGCCACAGACCAACTTGGATCAAGCCCTTCCTCTTCCACAGCTGTGGGTGCCTCTCACTAGCCATGCCGAGTCCTCTATGACCTCTGTGACCTTCCACATTTGTTCCTCGTGAGCCTCGTCCATATGTCCGCTCTCGGGGAGCTGCATCTTCGTTGCCCCCTAATGGCGTGCCTCGTTCCCTTGCACATGTTCTTCTACCGGCATCCCTTCGCCTCCCATCTGGACATCAAACTGTCCTCAGAGAAGCGGCTTCTCTGCCAAGCTGCCTTCTTTGCGCTTCTCCAGGAGACATTACCAGTGCCAGTGGTCCTCAGGCCCAGTGCCCATTACAGCCATCTGATAAGCTTTTCGAAAATAACCGTTACTTGGGCCTTACCCCAGCGAGATGGGACCAGTAACTGCAGGGATAGAATTGGCCATCCCTGAAGTTTCAAAGCCCCCTCAGCAGCCAAGCTGGGTCGCAGAACTTATGTGAACTTCACCTCCCTGCTTGTCACGGTTTGTGACTAGAGGCAGGGCCCCATTTCTGGTGGCATCTCCGAGATAGGGGTGGGTTTGAATGTTTGAGGGACACTACGCTCCCAGATTCTTGAGCCCTGTCACTAGCCTGGTTTCTAATGTCACCAGTGATGAACTATCCCATAAAAGATGAATCACTTAGAAGCTGCCTTCGAATGACTCCCTTTCTTGGACTTTTATTACTGTAAATGGAGATGGAATCCCCACATACCTCATCATTATGGGGTTTCCAAATTGATATGTGTCAGAATATGGTGACGTCGACTTCGATGCATGGACGCCCGTTCCTAAAAGTAAACACGATAGAGTTTTCGTGCCAATCAGCACACCAGCGCCAAGTGTGGCCTCCCACCTACCATGCCTTCTTACCCCTCGATTGTGCCCGCTTGGGGCATTTTTAGGAATGGGTGGATGTTACGGGGAAGGCAAGAGCTGCTGGGGAGTCATCCTGCTTGAAGGAGGACAGTGTTTTCTTACCACAAAACAGAGAAGCCCAGCACTGGCCTTGTCCTCTCCCGGCCAGCCTCACAGTGGTGCTTTCGTGTCACCCACCTGTCGCTGCTCAGGGCGAGCACTGAGGGCCTGTTTGTCGACGTCCGATCCGACAGCACCATGACCTAACTAGACATTGTTGTTCTTCTCGGTGTGTCTTCGGCAACCACCGCTGCTCGGTAACTTGTCCCTCTAGGGGCTCGGTGCTTCTCGGCAAGTTTTGCGAGTCAATTGACTGAGACCAGGATGTCCTGAGAAGCGGCCAGATGAGTACGAGCACCGGGGTGCTGGGACGGGTTTTCAAGAGAAGGATGCTGCTGCATTTCTCTCACTCGGCTGGCAGTGGGGTTAGCCAACGGCCACTGATGGACACTGTGTCTTCAATGGGGATGCAATTGGCATTTGCGGAGGGACAGCTCTTCCCTGTTTGGAACAGTCCCTGGAATTCAAGGACATTTGGCTTCCCTCTTCTCTGCCCTGTCATTAAGGATAACTACCTGCAGGCACCGTGGCATATGCCACATACATTTCCAGTTACCTCTAGGGGCTCAGAACTGTCACCGTTAAGAACCATCTGTTAGCCTTGCAGTTCTCCTTGACAGCGGTAGTTCCAGGAGTTGGAATTGACTCAACAGAACCGACCAGCAAGCTTAGAGTTGGGTAGAAGTTACCAAAGGAGGCTGGAGAAGCTTCCAGAATGTCCTTCAGGTCATTATGCATACGATGCCCTACCTACCTTTCTCCCGCCACTGCTGTGCTTGAGTTTGAAGATGGGAATTAGAGTAGAGGACCCAGTTCTGGGTGAGTCATTCTCTCTAGTTGGAGACCCACTTGGTGGAGCCACGTTCTGTGCTGGGCGACCAAAGCCAACCAGGGAGTCCCTTTGGGTGTCTGCGCCCTTGGAAGGAACTGCAGCCCTGGCCCCGCTCCCAAATGCTGCCGCGGAGCCACTTCCCCCAGATTCCTGTTTGCTGCCATCGGCCCTTTGGGAGACTGTGGACTTAGCTTTCTGACAGGCACTGTCGAAACATCGAGGTCACTGTCCTGCTGCTTCCCGACCAAGGTGGCACAGTGGTGAAGTTCTCGGCTGCTAAGCCAAAGGTCAGTGGCTCGCACCCGCTTCTCTAGGGGAGAGAGCCGTGGTGGTCCGCTGCCATCAAGATTAGGCCCTGGGAAACCTCTGTCCTCCAGGGTCAGTTGCCATGTGAACGGAAGTGAACTTGAGGGCAGTGTGCTTAGCTGCTGGCTCTGCAGCTGAGGGGAAGCTGCTGCTTATTGGCCGGTGGAGCAGGAGAGGAAGGAAAGACCTGCTTTCAAAAGTGACAGTGGCAGGACTGTCATGACTTCAACGTCAAAGCGGAAAAACCCAAACCTGTTGCCATGGGTCGAGCCCAAATCACAGTGGCTTTACAGTGACCCAGCCGGGTAGAGTAGATCAGCTCAATGGGGTTTCCAAGGCTGTCAGATGCTCAGACGTCCAACCATCTGGTTGGCAGATGAGTGCTGAACCACCCAGGGGCCCCTCATTTGCCCCATAGAAAGTTTCCTCTTGAAAATCCCCATGGTTTAGGGCAAGGTCTTGGACGGCTGCCCTCTGCAGGCCAGAATTGGACAGGCAACCCGCTGCCCAGCGTGGCTGAATTTGTGTTCACACCCTGAGTCACACAGATCAGGATCGATTTTCTCATCTGAAAATAGACTCCTTCCTCCCTCCCCTCCCCTCCCCTTCCCACTGGCCTACCAGCCTTATTTCCCTCCCTCATTTCTTCCTCCCTCCCTCCCTTCCCGTTCACCAGACTTTTGCCGTCATCGTCCATGTTGCTAGTTTGCTTTGGGCCACAAGCTAGCAAGTGAGTTCTATTGCAGACACAGGGAGGAGAGATGTCCCGCACACCCTGCCCTCCTACCTTCATCGGTGTCCCCGTGTAGCTGTTAAAGCTGGCTGGCGTCGTGTCCAACTAGGACAAAACGTTGTATCTGAAATGGAAATCCCATGTCACGCTCCCTTTTCTGGAACTTTCTGCCTGTGTCTCTGGGAGCGGTGCGCATTGCCCACCCGGGTATACTAGCTAACCCCTCGCGAGGCCAATGCTCTCCCCTTCCTTCTGAGGACAGCTCCCCAGAACCAGGTGCTGCGTTCCATCCCCAGCCTCTGGGCAGCGGGGGAATCTGACTGGTTCTTGGAAATGCTCACCCCACGAACTAGGGTTTAGTGGTAGCACTTCTGTTCACCACCCCTCCGCCCCGCAGGTGAATGCCAGGCAGAGAGAAAGCACTTGAACGCTGTTGAAAGGAAACGGCCGTTGAGTAACCAAGTGTGGTGTTTTATTTCTAGCCTCAGTATCATCCTCATATCCACACCAGCCAGCCTCGGTGGCACCCTCACTCTCCAAATACAAGGTAAGTGCTGGAGCCCCCCGAGCCAAGCCTTTGACACGGTTGCTCCCCTGGGAAGCCCAGGTTCTCCTTGACCTCTGCTTGAGAACCGCTCTTGACAGTTGCACTCTCCTGGTTGAGACTGCTGCCTTGCACAGAAAGGGAAAAGTCTCAGCCAGTTCTGCTTTATGAACCGAGTTTCTGAAATAATCCTGACCTTGGATTGGGTTGGTTGTCTGTGCATTAGGAATGGCACCTCAGACTTCTAACATAGTTTTCCTGTCTGTAGAATTCATTTCCATAAAGTTTGAGTCTTGGGGTGGTGGTGGTGAGTGTTTTTAAGTCTCTCTCTCTCTTACACACACACACAGAGTCATGTGGAAGGGGGTTTTCATGTGGTAGGTTTTTTCTACTAACTCATGGGTTGACACAATGCTCTGTCCAAGGCCTTCTAATTCAACATTAGAATCATTTGGTCACAGTGGAACATCTCAGTTCTGTCACTGGAGCTTAAAAGCAGCCATAGAAAATATCCAAATAAACGCACGTGACTCTGTTTCTATCAAATTTACTTACAAAAGCAGGTGGTCAGTGGGAGGTGACCCCAAAGCTATTATAGTTTACCGGCCCCTCCCCTGACCAGCTAGAAGTCTTTGGAAATAAACTGACATCTGTAACACTGCATTTGGAGTTAGGCTTGAGAGCTTTCAAATTCTTGGTTTGTGTAGGTTTAGATCAGAATTCATTGATGTTTATGTGTGGAAAGTCTTGCTAAAACACAGCTGGTGAATTGTTCGCCCTACATTGTCTCTTGGTGAGGTCCCTTGGCTTGCACCAGGAAAAAGAATGGAGGGACGGAAGAAAGTCCACTTAGAGAAAGACAAGTGAGAGAAGTTAGCCCTTGGTAGCTGGGGGTCATGTAAGAAAACAGTGCAGCTGTTTAACTGTCATACATACTGAGTTTTACTGTGCCTGTTTAGAGTAAGTGAGGCGGCTGGTGTAATAAATCCAAATATTTCTGATTTTCAAAAGCAGTTTATTGTCACAGCCTCCTGGCATAGAGCTGATTCCGACTCATGGCAGCCCCCCAAGACGGCATGGAGCGACTGTACAGGGTGTCCAAGGCTGCTTCCTCTTACTCCCCAGGGAAGGTGTGATGGGTCCTCACTGCCAGCCTCTAGCTCCCTGCCCCCAGGGGAACCTTCCAGTGTATGATCAGGCATGAGAAATGAAAGAGATTTAGAGAAGAGATATCTTTATGAAACATCCTTTTACAAACCGTTCAATCCCGTGGAGGAGCCCTGGCAGTTGAACTGGGTATAGGCTACCCCGCATGGTCAGCAGTTTGAATCTGCCAGCATCTCTGTAAGAGAAAGAATAGGCTTTCTGCTCCCACCAACCTGTCCAAGGTCTGGCACCGCACCACAGGAGCAGTTCCACTCTGTCCTAAAGGGTGGCTGTGAGTCGGGTTCAAATTGATGGCTGCGGGCTGGTCTGTCCCATCAGCGTCTTTCTGGGGCATAACGAAGCCAGCATTTCGCAAAGGGAGTTTGGAGGAAAGCTCAGAGCCGTGGTCCTCTGTGACACCTCTGCCTCCTGGCAGCATCAGCATCCCCCAGGGATTTATGAGAAATGGAAGTTCTTGGTCCCACCCCAGATGTAGTGGATCAGCATTGCTGAGGGGCGGTGTCCAGTATCTGACATCTTAACAAACTGTCCGGAGCTTAAGGAGGCCGTGGGGGGTTGCAAGCACTTTGATGCACTCCGCTGGTAACTGAGGGGTTGGCCGTCTTACTTCGCACCCAGGTACCTTGGTAGAAAGGCCTGGCAATCTACTTAGAAGAAATCAGCCATTGAAAACCTCCCCTAGAGCCCAGTTCTTGACACGGGTGGGGGCCGGGGGAGGTGTTACCAAGAGTTGGAGGCAACCCAACGGCAAGTTGTTTCCCAAGAAGCATGGTCTACGCTGTTCCATGAAAGACAGTTCATTGGCCCCACTCGAGTGTGACCGGTGTTGCTAATGTGTTCTCAGTGCACATTAGCGTGAAAAACACAGGTCCTGCGATAAAGACACCTTTTCACCTTTCACCTGGCCCTTTGAGAAAAAGGAAGACAACCACAGGCAGTTTTTTCTCCACTTGGAAGTTGACAAAGGATCTGACGCTTAAGAAACACAGTTGGAAAGCCATTCATGCCCGCACGTCAACTGTGCCCATTCACCCTGCCCGTGCTTGTGCCCACCCACGTCATTGCGCTGATTTCCCCTCACTCACCTCTCCGGTTTTCTCCCATCCCCGCCCCGCTAACCATTCACTCTGCAAACTGCACAGGCCATCCATGCAGGATGACAGGTCGCACTGGAAAGCCCTGGCCGGTGGAGATGGCAGTCATTGTGAGTATGTCCACAGCCAGAACCAGAAGAACTTGGGAGGAAGGCCAAGCACGGTGCATCCAGATAAACTCATGACTGCCCTTTGAGAGACTGAAGCATCCCAATGTCCATTCTCCATCGTACCCCCATGCCATTCCATGAAACATGTCTTGGCATCGCATGCATGTGTTTGGAAAAGAGTCTGAAATTTGTTTTCCATGTCAGTGTAAACATTTGACAGATCGTAACTAAGGTAGGGAATTGTAATTTACTGTTCACTGCGCTCTGAATGCATTGAAGGTAGTTAAAGGCTCAGGAATCATTTTGATATTCTGATTTTAGTATTGGAGTCACAGTCTGTGTTTATTGTATTGTTACGTGCCTGATATTTCTTTGTTATTTAATTAATGGGACCAAATAAAACCAAGAGAGCTTGGGTAGATAGCTTAGCTTTAGCATATAATATCAAAGGGATCAAGTCACACAATCCACCATTGTGTGACGCTGGGCAAGTCATTTCCCCTTTGTTGCCCACTTTTCCCATTTAAAAAGAGTGGGTGGACTAACTGAGCCCTGAGCTCCTGCCCAACTCTAAAATTCTGTGATTTCATTAACATTTGATTTTATATGCTGAGGAGATTCAATTTGATCCACGTTTCTCAAAAGGAAACTACAATATGTGTTTCTCTGAAAGAGGAGTACTGTTTTTGAGAAACTAAGGTACACGATTTATGAGATTATTATTTAAAGATGGGGGCTTGGAGTTACATATCTTAGTCCTGTGTAGCCTCTTGTAATGAGTCTTAATGATTGTACTGATCATCAGCTGCATAGCATTTGTTTTGATAGAAGTTGCTGCTCAACAACCAGAATCATTTTTCAAAAATGCCTTAATGATTGGTGCTGCTAACTCGCGCAATTCCAGAATACTTGCTGTCAGAATTTATGGAATTGGGGGGCTGATATGTATCCTAGATTTTCCTCTTTCCAAAAGCAACCTGTAATCCAAGATGCATTCATGAATCAAAGTGGATAGGATTTTACTGACGTTGTGCCAAAGCCTTCTGTAGATAGGTGTTACCAGTCTCCTTTGTAGAAACCACTAGATTGTCTTTTAGGGTAACACTTGTCCCCAAATATTTATTTAACCCATTTCAAGGAACGAGTCAAACGTTTTTCCCCCTCTTAATAGATAAGCCAAGATACATTTTCCATTTTCTAGAAAAGTGAAATCAGTGAGCTTTTATGTGTGTCATTGCAATTTAAGCCTTAAAAAATGTATTGATATTCTTAGAGGCATTTTATTGCTAACATCTGATCCTTTTTGTTGTTGTTGTTAACACACACACACACACACAAATCTAGTCGGAAGGAAGGCATCTGCCTCGTGCCTTGCACAGTGGAGTCTTAGCAGTTTTAACTTCTTCCTAAGCTATTTGTTTACAGGTGTGTTTCATTTTAGCCTATGTGCTGCATACAAATAAAGGTGTTCTGAATCTTCCCGATCTCATTGGTACATTTTTACAAACGTGTCCAAGGAATAAAGATGATTCTTGTTTATTTTGACTCCACCTTCATTTTGTTGATCCGTGGCTGCTGCAACCAAAGCATCGTTTGTGCATGATCCAGGCAAGGAGAGTGTTGGCTTTTGGAAGTCTGCAGGTTGAGCGTTCTGTTAGGTGGCGTGGAGCAAGATCAGGCTAGGATGAGGCTGCTCTTGGGGACAGCAGCTCCTCTTGCAGGCATTTGGTTCATCTGAAGGCAGGCAGCTCTGGTGGCGGCTGTAGCACCTGGTCGCAGGTACTGAGCAGATAAGTGACGGTGGAGTTGGTGCTGGCTCCTCCTGCCGCGGCCGCTGCTGCCGTTCCTGCCTGAAGGACATCGCAAGCTGTATCTGTGGCCTGCCAGGAGGTTATGTATCCTGCCCGTTACCCTTTAATAAATGCCTTCCTGCTTAAAGTAACTTGAGTGGATTCTGCTGTCTGCCACCAAGAAGTCTAATCAGTACTTAGGTCCTGGTTTCCAAATGAAATGCACACTTTTCATTCCTTTGTGTGTCTCTCCTTGGCGAGCTTAACAGTGACGGCGCACACACAGCTTCCTGTTCTTCTCCCATCCCGATTGCTTCTCCGCCCTGTGTGAGATCTCGTTCTCTATCCCTCTGACTTGCTCTTCGGGCCTCGTGATAGTCTTCTGTTTGTCTAGTAAATGTGCATGGTGTCCAGGGAGTCCTTCCACGGCTTTCCTTCCTTAGTACCAGCTGCCTAGGCTTTCTCCTGCCCGGGCTTCATAGTGCTGTTGATTCAGAAACCATTACCTCTTCCCTAGGCTTCTACCTTGATATTTTAAACTGGCATTTCAACCTGGGTATCCCATGTAAACCTCAAACTGCGCATGTCAAAAATTAAAGTTCATCATCTTTCACAAAAATATACTTTTGAACCTGAATTCTCTCTTTTCCACCCAAGGTTAAGAGTGTACCCACGTGCACAACTCCTCCCGTTGGCCGCTCCTTTCCAAGCGATGCCTGGGTCTGCTCTGCTCTCCTCTCCAGCGTGTGTGTGAGCCCTTTCTGTCCTTCCCAACATTGCGCTTAGGGGAGCCTCTTTCCTCTGGCTGAGAGTTGTCTTTACTGGTTTCCCTGAAACACACT